CGAATACCACCAACCACTACCAATTCATTTCCGCACCCATTTAATCGTCTTGTTTATCTGCTCCTATTATCTGTTTAAAGGTCTCAGCGGATTACAACAAAAAAAAAACAACAAAAAAATAATCCAATCTATAAATCACAAACTGCAAGATAAAGAGGACATCCTCATTAACAGCACGGTTAGTAGATTATATAGAACATGAATCAAAAGTAATTTGCTTTAGAAATTTTAAAATTATAGCGGTAGCTAGAATTGAATAGAGAAAAATAGTAGAGAAAGTCAACAGCTGCCTCGGACTGTAAAGCTAAAATATTATTATAAGTAGTGCCAGTATTTACCTTTTGAACTGGAGAGCGATTCTTACTATTATCTTAAACAAAATAATATTTGTAAATACATATTAGTTATTAATCACTGCTGAATTTATAGATACACATAAATTGGTGTACACTCAAGCGTTAAAAGATAAGATAATTCCAGAGGTTTATGAATTTGAATATACTAAATTAAAAAAAATTATAAAATTGTTATAGCTGACAGGTTGATGTTATAATTTCAGATGTTGTCGATCTAAGCTATCAGTAAGAAGAATGCAGAGTGAATGCTAGAGAATTTATAGATAAGTTAGAGTTATTTCTCTGTCAACTTTTTAGCTTCATTAAAAATTTTAAATTCTGATCTATGTATTCTTGTATTAAAGTAACAAACTAATAAGGATTTAAAAAAGGACTAAAAAAAGTTATTAGTTATTTTTCATATAAATACATTAAATTTAGAACAAGTGACTCTGTTCGAGCATAAATTAGAGTAATTGTTTAAAGAAACATAAAGTGCTGAACTATTCCAATCAATTTTAATAATTTAAAATAAATTTATCATTTCAATACTTTATGTAAAATCAAAAAACATAAATCAAAAATTTTTTGTACTCGAAAAATGTAACACGAAACTCACATGCGTAAAATATCTGAAATATTGCATCTTTTATTTATGCGTCTTCAATCGCACCTTCGAAAGTCGACCCACGTTTCGGTTTTTTGAACCTTGAATTTTTAAGAATTTTTGCATAAATTTCAAGAAAAAGGTGTTGTTGCTTTTCCTTCGCTCAACTAATTCACTTAATATTATTATATTATGTATTTTGCAGCAGCTTAACTTTTACTTCATTTACATTCGATTCATGTCCTTTGACACTTTTGTTCGATTGGTCAAACTTGAAAAAAAAGGGTTCTTTTCACACATACTCCTACTGGGGCATAAATATCCTTTGAGTCTTAGTGGCTTGAAGTTAAGGGAGTTGTTGCTTTTTTTCGTTTGTTTATTTCTCGCCTGGACCATAAATCATTTTAGGCCATTTGGTGCTCGTGTAAGCCACAGTGGAATTGAAGGCAATTTTGATTACTTTCGAAAAATGTAAAACAAATGAGTTTAATATGCAAAAGCTGTTGGCTTTAGGGGCGGGTGGGTTTGTAAAGGGAATAAACGAATTGGCTTGAATAAGTTGATGAACTTTAAACAAAATACAAATACCTCTTTTGCTTCTTACAACACTTTTCGATTTTTGCTCCACTGTTTTACGTGCTACTAAGCACCGCTTTGTTGTTTAGCGAAATTATCCTGTTGAGTTTCATGCACATTTCATACACTTAAAGTAAGGATAATATAAAATTTATTGCCAATTTGCATAAAAATTGTGTAAAATTGACACATTAAATTAAATTTAGTTAAGAAAAATGTGTGAGAAGTCGGAAACTTGTGAGGCATGTAAGGGGAATTTATGTTGACTTTTAAAGGATTTTAAATTTTAATTTTTAATAGAAATGTAATTTGTTATATTTAAAATGTATATCCGTATTTTTGGCTATATTTGCACATATTCATGTATATTAATCTATCCATAATATTTTCCTAATATATCTATATAATATAAATATATATGTATATTTATACATTTTTTGTTTTACTTAATATTTAAGTGCTTTTATGAAATTTGCCTACACATATTCACATATAAGAGTATTAAAATAATTTACACATACAAGACATATTAACAGACACACATTTTTTGTTAAAAAAATTAAGCGAATTAATTACATATTAAAAAACATTTAATATTAATTTTATATAAGTTTTTATATGCACACATAAATATATATATATTTTATATGACAAATAAAATATATAGCAAAAAGATCTTATGGGCGGAACCTCCACCTTCGGAGGTTCCGCTCTACTCCCTACACTCTACTCCCCTTACTGAGTAAGGTAAAGACTTCTGGTAAAGATGAATCTAAACTTCTAGGTACTAAGTCCA